ATCTAGTTTTAACAATATTTTTATTATTTATTATTTAATCTAAACTATATTTTCAATATAATCTCCCCAACTGACCATATCTACAAGGTGTCCTAAAAACAGGTTGTGTCCAACAAAATCTCTTGAATATTGGAGGTTGCTAACAAACGGTCAATTATTTAAACCTCATTTATTTAAACAACATTCAAAATCGATCGATGAATACCCTTGTTGGATAAGCAAGAGTGAGAAGAGGAATGCCAAAGATTGTGTACGCCGAAGAGGGACGCCGAAAGCTTGAGGCGCACGAGGCTTGAGGGGCTTGAGACTTGATTGAATCAAATTTTATTTGATTTTAGGAAAGAAGAGGTAGGGCAAGTGTGGGAAGAAGAAGTTAAAAGGCAAAAGTGGGAAGAAGTCATTTGAGTTGTCTTCCCTTTCATAATAGATCCTAATATGGTATTAATCTTCAACTGCTCCATCTATAATTTTAAAAACAGTACTTTACAGCTTCAATCTTTATTTTTCCACTTTTCTAATTTGATTTTACGTTTTTTTAGTCTATTTTACACTTTGATTCAATCTTTTTTTTATATCAAAGTATTCAATAGATTTATCTTACAAATTTGGAAATTTTGAAATCTATATGTTATTTAAAATTTTTGAACTCTATAATTTCCATTCACTATCTTCTTTCCTACAATTTAGGTGTACTACAGATTTATTGAAGGGTAGTTTCGTCATGAATTTATAGGGGAAATGGTAGGTAAATTTACCTATTTTGATGGGAGGGTAAATTTGTCTACATAAAATCACGTAGTTAAGCTCTAACTGTTCTTTAGCCATTTTTATGATATCTGATTATTTTGGTCATTTTTCAAATCAAACTATTTAATTTAGTTATTCCTCTAGTTGTCCCTAATTACTAACCAGATGGCTAAAGTTTGATAACTCCCTCCTGTGATGATGAACTAGGCCATCCAACCACCGTGTTTGTTTCCCGCCGTCGTTGTTTCAGACCTTCACGGCTTCCATCAACGAGGTATTGATTCCTTCTTCGCCGTCGTTCCAGACCTTCAATTTCCGTCGCCGAATAAAGTTTCTGTCGACGTCTTTGCACGTTTCTGACGCCGAGTAGTGCGCTCCTCGTCTCCTGTCCCCTTCTGTTTATACCAATCGTAAGTTATAGTCTTCCCGTTAAGATTGGTATATATGGGGATATATTTTATTTATGTGTATATATCTTTTTTTTTTAGTACTTATGTGTATATATCTTATAATTATATATACATAAGATATGATAATAAACTTTGACTCGCATTGTCAAGTAATTTTGTAGAAAGGGTATAGAAAATTGAAGTTCTAAACGTCTCATAGTTTTAGTCTTCCCGTTTATATTTGTATATATGGGGATATATTATATATATGTGTATATATCTTATATGTGTATATATCTTATAGTTATATATACATAAGATATGATACTAATCTTTGGTTGGTCTCAAATAGTTCGGGTCCTCTAAAATTGAAGTTCTAAACGTCATGGTCTGGATGATTGTTATTTTTGGATTTGTGGGATTTTTGGAGGTTTTCAAATTTGGGGGATTTAGAAGGAATTTGGGGGATATTTTGGGAGGTTTTCAAATTTGGGGAATTTGGGGGGTTTTTTTTTGTTGATATTTTGGGGTTTTAATTAGTTTTGGAAAGTATCATTAAGCTAAAATTATGGGATCCAAAATATAACCTTCCAATTAATCAATTTTGCATTTTTAATTTGTATATACAAGAGGATATTTAAGTAATTTATGTGATGGATACCCTCTTAAACAAGGTTGTTTCATGACAAATGTGTAAATTCTATACCTTTCATCCTTTTATGTAATTAGGATGTTTAAATAGTCATGTATTATCCCTAGATACAAATAAACTTTAAAAAAGGCTAAACAACTTTTAATTTTCAATAATAGTCATTATAAAAACAGGAAAATCTCTACTACTTACGAAATTACCCTCCCTAAAACGGTTTTTATTATAGGTTAATTCAAATATTTTTAGAATCTTACCAATATTTTCTAATTCTAAATTTTCTTAACCAATTTTTAGGAGAATTATACTAACAAAAATATTCAAAATAAGGTGAACAGAGGAACAAATACGGCGAAGGTCAATGGAGGAATAAATACGACGAAGGTCAATGATGGAACAAATAATTTGAAGAAATAAGGTGTATTTTTTTGAAAAATTAATACAAAAATACACCCTACCTCAAACCAAAAAGCCTAGAAACTCAACATATAAATCTCTCTCTCCTGGCAATCCGCTTTATCACCAACCACGTTGCATTGCCCATTGCCTAACAAGATGTCTCCCTCTCTTGATTTTACCATACCCTCAACTATGATCGTTTTCGATCGTTTTCCTCTCTGGTCGTCCCCCTCAATATGATGTATGGTTAAATTTGGTAAGTTTTGTGTCCACTTATAAGTTTATAACACTAGTGGTGGAAAAGAAAACTAGAATCAAGGAGGGCAATACGAATTTAACAATTTCGCCCGGCCAAATTTACGGATCAATAGTCGCCAATAATCCATTATCCTACAAAACACTCAAAAAGTATGTACTAAAAACAGGTTAAGAGTTCAAAAGACTTGCTCCACTTCATGAATATTGTCATTTTCCAAGCAAATTGTATCAGTTGAAAGTCAAAAAAAATTTAAAACTAAGAAGAGGCAAAAAGCTCTCTGTAGAGAAAACCAAAGAATTCTATGGAGATCCCCTAAAACATTCCTTGACCAACTTTATAACAGAAACCCAAAAATAAAAAAATAAAAATAAAAAATATTAGAAACCTTTGGATTCCAGACAGAGTCTGCAAAGTCCAAAAGAAAGCAAATGATCCTAATAACCAAAAAGAAAGCAAGTGATAGTGACATGTGAAAAAAAAGGCAATAATTTTGCTGTTTTTGTGACTAATCCAATCCTCCAAATAAAGTAATTGAATTCAAAGGAGAAGATGAGATCCCATCAATTACAATTACATTACACATCAACCAGCTAATTGCCTTTCCTTGTTGACCACACCAGACCAACACCACAAATTTCTGTAAGAAGCTCAAAAGACATAAAATCAATCTTTTGAGCCCATTCACAAAGTTAAAAAATTATGTAAACATGAGGGAAACGCTCCGTGCTTCCCCCGACACCGAGCGAATGAAATCCCGGGGAATCCAAAGCCTTCTTTCGCTTTTGCTTAATACATGAATGAATAAAATTCCTTCGCCTAATTTCTAACAACTGCTACTTCCCCAGCAGCAGCAGCACAGACTCCTGATCTCAAAGTACTACACTCCGGACCAAACTTATGATATAGTGTTGATAGTTTTCTCTCTCGAAGAACGACTCGTTCGATGATATGCTGGAACGAACGAACATGAATCTCCCTTTTCTCATTTTCTCATATCCTTCTTATCGAATCACGTGAGAGGCTTTGTCGATGTGGTTAGTGTGTAACGAGGCGTTTGTGTCATCCAGTGGAGACTAACTCGGAGGAATTCTGCTCGGATCCTACTGCAGAAGAAGCTTGCGAAGGCCCCGACGATCCAACCGCTATTATCGTCGCTGTTGTTGCACCTGTAACATTTCGCACACAACATAAAATCCCCAAAAACCAACATACTTAATTCTCTCCGAGCAAAATGACATTCTTTAGCTAACAATTTCTCGACATCATCATTGGCAATAACAAATTACATTACAAGCATTTGTATTTCATTCAGCACCTGCAGAGGTCGTTCCTGCACCGGTCACGCCGGGAAGAGATAGGATACCGCTCGAACCGTGCTGCTGAGGAACATACGGATACTGCATAAGCTGGGGATACTGCATTCCAAATCCATACCCCTGGCTACTCTGCGCGTAGAACGGATAGAGACTTTGAAACGTTCCAGCCGATCCCGAAATCCCATTTGCAGCGTAGTAAGGCGAGAACTGCTGGCCTCCGTAAACGCCGTAGTAGTTCTGCAACAAAAAAGCTCACCCCAATCAATCCCAGGAACAATCATAAACACAGAACAACATCAAACCAAACCAAACCAAATCGAACAACATTCTCACCAATGGAAACATTCTATCTTGTGAGTATCCAGCATACCTGAAAGAAGGCCAAAAGAGAGCTCTAATGAAAAAAAACAGAAAAATGGGGAATTGGGTTTCTGTAATAATTGAGATCACAAATTTACAAGATTACCCATATGCTGAAAGAGGGAATGAATAGTGAGGAGTGGGGTGATGAATGTAGGGAGGGCCAGGGGGAGGCACAATCCCATTACCAGATGCTACTGCTGCTCTGAATCTTCCACCACCTGTTGAAAAAAATTGTTGAGAAAATTGGCATTTGGCAGAGGGAAATTTTAGAAGAGAAAGAAGAGAAAAAAGAACCATGTTGAGGAGGAGGAGGAGGAGGGGGAGGCTTATGGGCGCCAAGAGATGCAAGATTGCAGTTGGCCCTTCTTCCATCGATCACAGGGGAAGGGTTTTGGCACGCTCTAATGGCTGCTTCCGGATCCTTAAACGTCACCTAATCAAACCCAAAACCAAAAAAGCCCCAATTCCCAAATTTGGAAATGAGAAATGGAAATTAGAAAAATGGAGGAAGAGGGTTAAAAGAGAGGGGACTTACAAAGCCGTAGCCCTTGGATCTGCCGGTGTTCTTGTCTATAATAACGACGGCTTCTAAGATTTCTCCGAACTGCTCGAAATACCTTCGCATGGTGGCGCGCTGGGTCTCCCAAGCGAGGCCTCCGACGAAGATTTTGGTGAAAGTGGTGTCATTCGATGGGCTCTGGAATGGTCTCTGCTGAGACATCGCCGCCGAGGCGAGTGTTTGGTTTTGCGGACCGAGTCGAATCAATGGCGGGGGAGACGCATTTTGGACATTTTTCTTCTTCTTCTTCTTTTTCTTTTGTATGTTTGTTTGTTTTTTTTTGGGAAATAACTAACGCTTTTTCCACATACATAAACAACGACAACTACCCAGATTCCTCAAACAAGGATACCCTTAACGAGAAAATCATTACTGTTTCCAGCCTGATTTTTTTTTTGTTTTTTAAATGGAAGGAAAAATTATCATTTATATATATATAGGTTAAAAAATAGTTTGGGTGAGTTCTTGTGCTTTATATTGTTAAGATTTTATGTGCAGTAGGAATTTGTAGATAATTTACAAATGCTAATTACCAAAATTGTTATTTGTTATATAATAAGGATCCATACTTAATTTTCATGAGATTTTATTGAGTAGAGATTAAGTTACTACAAGGAATAAATTGTTACCCATAGAATTAAAGGACTAAATTGTTCCTTCAATAAAAATATATGGATCAAAAATATTTTTTAACATTTATATATATTAGAGATGAATTTCTTTTAGTACAACAAATTGTGAGTACGAGGGTTTGAATCACATACCTCAAATAAAATTGTAGATGTCAATTACTGAGCTATACACTATTAGAGATGAATTGAAATTTGGAGATTATAGTTTAAAATACTATTTTTGTCCCTCTCCTTTCAGCACTCGTTCATTTTAATTCCTCTACTATAAAATGTTCATTTTGATCTCTACATTTAACTTTGATTCATTTTAGCCCTATTATTTGAAAATGTTCATTTTGATTCTTGTACTTTTAAAAAATGTTCCTTTTTACAAAATTTAACAAAAATTTTACACATAACGAAATCTTTAGTATAAAGTAATGTTTATGTTTTAAGAAATATATTAAATGTAATGTCGTGTTGAAATTGTGATATAAAAATATGAGATTACAAATAAATTAAGATCAAAATGGTCACTTTTTAAAAGTTATAGGGATCAAAAATGAATCTTTTGAAATTACAAGGATTAAAATGAATGAAATAAGTCAAAGAGAACATAGCTTACCAGTAGTTGACATATATTTCCAATCAAGACGTTGTGAGTTCGATTTTCCACCTTACATGTTGTTAAATAAAATAATACAGGGACGAAAGCCAATATTTTAAAGTACAAGTATTGAAATAAATCAAAATTGAAAAAATACAACACTCAAACTAGTATTTTAATAGAGATTATAATATGGAAGGAGAGACAATATGATATCGATGAAGAAGAGAGAGAAAAAGACAAAAAAGCTGCTAGTGGGTACCCACGCACGACGACACATCCTCGAGAGAGATTTTTGGTAATACCAAAAATGGAATATTTAACTCTTTTTTTTTATTTATTATTATTATTATTATTATTATATTCGCTGGATTGGTCTGGATTACCCTTTTGCTTCGCTGTATTCAAAAGCAACTCTCTTTCTCTCTCCTCTCTATAATATTACTTTGCTTCCTTCTTCGTGTATGGCCTTTGTGGGATGTCGAGATTTGAATCCGATCATAAAAATTTTGATACTACGACGGTATGATGCTATTCTTAGTTTTGTTTAAGAATAATGTGGAATCTAATAATATTAAATAGTTATAATTTTAAATCTTATTTTAGTTACATACTTTTCATTTTTGTCCATTTTGATCTCGGTATTTTTTAAGTGTTTTGTTTAGTTTTTATATTTTAGTATTTGTACTTTTAAAATACAAATTCTATATATTATGGACTCTCATAGACTAAAAATTTATTGAGGTCTTGGCATTGCAATTGAAAAAAATGAGAAAAAAAACGGACAGTCATTTTTTATAAGTCCGCAAACCAAAATCGATGTTTTGGAAAGATGATGGTTAAAATGGACAAAAGTTGAAAATTTATTGATTAAAATGGGTGTTCTAAAAGATTAAAAAAAGGCAAAAGTGGGGGAGCGTTTAAGTTCTGTTTTGGTCATTGAACATACTTTTGAAATGTCTATTTTAGTCTTGAACTTTAAAAATGATTGATATGAACTTTCAAATGTCTATTTTAGTCATTGTACTAAAAAAAATAACCATTCTTGTTCTTGTTATATTATTTTTCCACCTAAAATTCACTTTAATACTCGTTTTCGACTAATGTGGTTTAAATACACATACTCATATTAACACGTTAGTACACACACTCAAAAGTTGTGTTATTAATTTGATAAAATCAAAATAAAAATAAAGACCAAATAGTTACTATTTTGAAGTTGAGGAACAAAAATAGACAATAAAATTTCAAAGATTAAACCTTTTTAAAGTTCAAGGACTAAAAAAGAAATAACCTAAAAGTTTAAGGACCAACGTTATAATCTTAGAATTTTGAAGAAAAAAAATGGAAGAGCTAAATGAAATAGACCTAAAAATTCAAGGGGTAAACTTAGCATTTCAATCAATAACTAAATAAGAAGGAAAATTTAGTGCCATAATCATCCGTCTCTCTCTAGAGAATTATTTTTTTAATGCTAATGTGAGTATCCAAAGCCTAAAATTTGAAGCTTTTTGGGCATTGATGGATGCTTCCCTACGTAGTCAGAAACAAAGCTTATAATCTTTTGACCGGACAGCGCCCACAGATATCCGCCCTCTCATTCATTCGTCCACTTATTTTTAAATGTTGTTTACAGTTTCCAATTTTGTTTTATTATTATTATTTATATAAAAACGATGGAAATTTGGATGAGTGGACAAATTTTTTATACATATTTTTATATTGTATTTTGGCTAAAATATATGAAATCCCCCTTTATTATAAGGTTGGTTTCAATTATGCTATTGGATAGCGTAAAGTGACCTTCTACGTGGAGGAGAAAGATAGGTTATTGAAAGGCGGATGAATAATACCTCAAACTTTGAGTTCGAGGAGTCATGTCTCGGACCTCAATCGGATCTCACCCACAATTAAGGGGTGAGCCGAAGTTGTCCGTGAACAAACCGCTCTCAATCGTTTTCCCCACTATTGCAAAATCTAAGTCTAGCTAGATTCTCGTAGTAGTGTCTGATAACTACAAAGTGGATCACACATCTCGATGAAATAAATATTGGAACAACTTCTGTATGTAGGCAGGTGTATGTTTAAGATTGCTCGTCTAGGCTCCTCAGATATATTGATTTGAACGTTGTTTCTTATCTATTATAGGTCTTACACTCACTTCGAAAACCTCATTCAACACTTCTTTGGACGTTCAATTTTCACGCTACTGCACTCTTGGTTACAAACTTTCATTTTAATCCTTAATTTTGAGTTATTTGAACTAAAAAAAATCTTTATTAGTTTCTTCTATAAAAAACAGAATGAAATTCTAACTTCGAAAATTGAGTAATAGCTTAGATGTTAAGGTTTGAGAGAAGAAAAGAAAAATACACGTGGCTATTATTTTTCTTTAGTTCTTCTCTCTCACAATCAACGTTGGAAAAAAATTAGCACTAAGACTTTGGAAAAAGAAATTGGGAAAATAAAAATAACTCTATATCATCAATGAAAAGACGATTATTATTGTACCATTTGTGGCTGAATTGCCTGCGTTGCATTGATGGTATTTGTTTATGCAAGGATATGCACAACAATATATTTCCGACTGCAGCTCGAACTCGGAACTCGGACCGA